TTTGAATACAAGAAGTTCGTAGCTATGCAGGAAAAAAAAATTGACTCAATTTTATGCATTAGATCACAAGTTATAATTGGCAAAAATTACTCCAATTAGTATAACGAAAATCACGTGGTCCAATACTTTTGACCGGGGAGTGTATCTTCAATTAAATGAACGATAATATGATTTGCATTTTTATTAATTTCTTGATTCTGAATTTAAGTTAATTTATTATTAGTTACTCACTTGGTTTACTCTGATATAAAATTTACGTGCCTTTGTACATGAGCATTACACAAACATGTTATGGTTTGGAAAGTATGTATAGTAGTAGTATGGTATTTTTTTTTTCATACATGTAGAAAAAAAACATACATTCCAAAACCATTACTATAACAGGTTTGTATAACACTCACTCACGAAGGCACGTAAATTAGAGATTAGAACTGGTTAAATTTTTAACCGGTTTATTAACGTCTAAGTAAGCATTTGGAATATTAGGATATCCGAAATGTTTATTAAGACGAATGCACATTTGGACCAAGTGCATATATTCGCATTTCGGACATTAATACATTTGGGCTACAAGTCGTCTAACATGATGATTTAAATTTTTATTTTGAAAAAAAAAATTATTATTTATAATTAATTCCAATTGGAATAAATTAAGAATTTATTAAATATTAAATTTTAATTTTTAATGATCATTAATATTTAAAACTTATAAAAAATATTGATACTTTAATTGATGAAATTTAAATGGTTAATTTATATTGTGCATTGATGTTATTCTGGTTATCTTCCAATAGAATGCTTTTCTAAATTCATTTCAGTTCTCCATTACTTTTAAATAAAAAAAATAATTCTGTCTACAGAGCGATGTTAATTTTGAAACTTAATTTCAGTCAGTCAAAAAAGCCGCCTGGTCTTATAAAAAAAATTTTATATATACGATGGGTAAAGATAACTTATTTTTATTTAAAAAATAAATAAATAGTATACGGTGTTAGTCCTGGAAACGTCTCAAACCAAGCTAACAAAACTAATAAACTTAAAATCAAAATTATCTCAAAGGCCTTTCCTGAGAGAAATTAACGATAAACAAATAAAACAATTTATTCTCACGATTCACTTGTGTAGTAGGTTATCACGATCAATCCTATGATGAAGACAAGAAGAAGGTTGAAAGTGTAAAATAGTAACTTTATTAAACTGTAGAGTTATAAGTCTAGTCCCAAGACTTATTCAGAAAACTATCTGATCGAACTCTGTTGACTCAAGGTCAACTTACAGATCTATTTATATAAAATTGTTAACTAATACTATACTACGCCTTTCAATAAATACATATAATGAAAATAATATAAGTAATGAAAGGTAAACTATTCGATACATGTATTATAAAGTTGATCAAAACGATACATATATTACGTTTAACATGTATGATATTTGATGCAGTTGAAGATCATTTAAGGCACAGCATGAACTGCGGCTAACAACGGGCTTGCTGAAATATTATACACTTCAACGTTAATAATAAAAATAGATTTTTATGAATTGATTGATGTGTCATTCGACAATGGAGTACCTTCTTATTACATAAATATTAACGCGATGAAAAATATTCGTGGGTTTTAAAGGAATATTATGCCATGTTGTAAGTTTCATGCAGATCATCCTTATGTTTCAAAAGAATTCACATGATCAGGTAAAATGGTCCTTTGCAAATAAAAATTAATTAAACTTTTTTTTTAAGATAATAAAAAAAAACAATTAAGGAATTGAGCTGTCTTCATGCAAAACCAATTTTAGTCAATACAGAAGAACAGGTGTGAAAAAAATTTGGAAGCATTTTTGGAAGGGTTGGAAGCATAATCCTCTCTATAATTCATTTGGATTGGAAGCTTACAATCAAATTTTATATACTATTGGAAGCATAAAATGTACATCAATGCCTATGTGTGTATTACCTTATACATTTCGACCCATAAGAACAATCTCCATGGACAATAAATCTAGAGAGAATAAGTAACAAGCTTTTTTATGGATTTGAAAGTTAGATGATTTATGGGAAATATTACAAGTTAGCTTGCTTCAACTAAGATGGTCATTGGGATTCCTTTGGAATTAATTTTACGGTAAATCGTTATTTATTTATGATATTTCATTATTGTTCTTTTTTTGGAGAAAGAAAAATTATAAGTTTTAGGTATACAACATCATTTTTCACTTACATTATGTATTATAGCATTATATAAAGTTGATTATAGAGGAGTAACAAATACTTTTTTAGTAAAAGGAAAATTTTGAGAATGCGATTGTATTGTATAATGTGTTGTAATTGGAACTTTAATTTCCAGTGCATTTTTTTGAATGAAATTTAATCTCCTTCCCACTCGAAATAAATTATCTGCGGTATGAAATTAATTTAATTGGGGAGTCCTTTTATTTACATTTTGGTATTTGTTTGATTGTCGCATAATATACATATATAATTTTTAAAATCTAAAAAATAATTATCAAAAAAATTATTTTTTGTAAATTATTGAGTCGTCTGTCAAAAACGCAAAAAAAAGCCGTTCGTCTTGTAATAAGTTAATTCACCATCGAACATTGGCATATAACCCCGTAAAAATTTCCCGATGTAATTAAATATATTGAAATTAACAGCATATTAACGAAATCATTATTTTATCTTAATTTTAATAAATAAATCATAATTCATAATATTGGTTCGTCATATACATAATGTAATTTATATCCTTTTTCTCTAATCACTTCATTGTAATAATTCATCATATTCGTTCTTTTGAAGTTTTATAGAATATTGTTTTAAGGTCCGAGTATATAACAAGTTAATCTAAACTCCATTTGATTTTCGATTTTCAAGCAGCTAACTTTATTTGGTAAGACAAGAAGCGGTTAATCCTTTTTTAAGTGATTATTTATGGAAAATTACGGCAGGAACCGAGGGCTGTGTAAAAGTATTGGTAAATTTTCATGCAAGAAAAATAAAATAAAAGCCCCCCGACCAAAAAGAAAAGAAAAAAAAAAAAAAAATAATTTAGAAAAAAACCTAAAAAATTTGGTAGCGAGAATTAAGGAATTAGAGCAACAATTCAGTTATTTAAAAAAAAAAGTTACAAGGCAAGAAGAAACCAAAGTCAATATTAATAACTTGGAAGAGAATTTTAGAGGGCGAGAAGAAGATACTAAAGCCAATATTCATAAACTAGAAGAAAAGGTTAGGGAACGAGAAGAAGAAACTAAAACTAAGCAAAAAATTATTAAAAATTTAGAAGAAAAGGTTATAGAACGAGAAGTGATGTCCAAAGAAAAACAAAAAATTATTAACGAATTAGAAAAGAGAATCGGAAATCTTGAATCAATTATTTATGATGTAACTATTACAGATGTTAATAAGGTTGACATATTGAACACTTTAGGTGGATTGCAAAGATATCAAAATTTGACAAAATTCAAATGTAACAATTCTCAAATAACAAACTTACCAACATTGCCAAACTCCTTAACGGAACTCGTTTGCTATTTAACTCAAATAACAAGATTACCAACATTACCTACCTCCTTAACTTATCTTAACTGTTCTGAAACTCAAGTAACAAGCTTACCAACATTACCTAACTCCTTAACGACACTCGATTGCTCTGCAACTCAACTAACAAGCTTACCAACATTACCTAACTCCTTAACGGAACTCCGGTGTTTTACAACTCAAATAACAAGATTACCAACAATGCCTAACTCCTTAACGGAACTCGATTGCTCATTAACTCGAATAACAAGCTTACCAATATTACCTAACTCCTTAACAGAACTTTATTGCTATGATACTCAAATAACAAATTTACCAACATTACCTAACTTCTTAAAGGAACTCCATTGTTATGATACTCAAATAACAAGCTTACCAACATTACCTACTCCTTAACGACGCTCGATTGCTCATCAAATCAAATAACAAGATTACCAACATTTCCTAACTCCTTAACAGTATTCAATTGCTTTTTAACTCAAATAACAAGATTACCAACATTTCCTAACTACTTAACAGTATTCAATTGCTTTTTAACTCAAATAACAAGCTTACCAACATTACCTAACTCCTTAACGACACTCGATTGCTCATTAACTCAAATAACAAGTTTACCAAATTTACCTAATCCCTTAACGATAATCGAACCTTCATATTTAAAAGATCAATATTCAAACAACTTCCCTACAAACTTCTAACACCTTGATGCAAAATAGCAATTTAGTTTTTTTGTTTTAACTAAAATTTGTTACTTTTTAAACTTAAATAATCATTTAATTCACAACCAATTTTCATTTTCAGTTGTTTAGAAAGATATTTGAGAATTTAAATTTAAAGAACTAACGATACAACCCATTCCCTAACCCTTTCTCAAAATTAATCTCTTCTTCTGATGAATTTTATGGTGTTATTAATTCTTTTTCTAATATAATTACATAAAAGAGACGAATTTTGTTAGAAAGACAATTTTTTTTTTAAAAAAAAATGAATAAATATTAAATGAATTTACCTGAATGAATGAATGATTTATGAAAAAAAGATAATAAACAAATAAAATTTAACCAAATTAACACGTTAATGTAAAAAATGGGCTCTTTGCTTTTTGGAGGACATCATGATCACTTGAGCTTCAACTACCTCTTGATAGGATCGATAAAAACGGATTGATTTTTGCAAGAATTATTGCACTTGCAACGGAATCGATAGACTTCTTCCAAGGATCACGACCTTATGCAATGGGATCGAACTTAATGGTGGTTTCTTCCAAGATTCAAGACTTTCTCAAAGTACGAATTATATCTGAAAATTTAGATCTATAGTCGCCCGATTTTCAATAATAAATAAAAAAATTCATCTGAAGTTTTTTTTTTTGATAATGAATAAGGTTATGAATTACAAAGATTGGGTTGAATTACAGATCGAGAAAATTTTTTATTCAAAATATAAATTATTTTGTGCATACATCTCTCATATTTTGGCTCAACCAAACGACCTGGTCTTTGACTTCAACCTAGGATTTCCAATGATAATAGTATAGCAAATAATTTATAATAATTCAAACGATATTAAAGAAATTTTCTTTGGAAAGTAAATGATTTTAATAGCAAACCTCCCAATATATGGAATTAAAATTTACATTATTAACAAATATGATATTTATATTTATATTTATATATAGAATTAACTAATATTATATAGTTTTATTGCGGTGGAGCATTTCACAACTTCGTTATAATAAAATTATTTTTTATTCATTTTTTTTTATATATATAAAAGAATACCAATTTTTGTAACGATTTCGAATTCGAAACCACAATTAAAACTGTAAACTAAATAAGGATGATAGGGTGGGAACTTTTACAATAGAAAGGGGGAAACTTCCAGAAAAAAATCAACTTTACTTTTCTATGCTAAAATGGTTTTTAGGTTCAGATTCGGAATTAACACATTTTTTTTATATTTTCCAGCTGTTTCTCGTTTTTCTATTGCAAGGTCCCATATTAACAGTTCCACGTTGTTTTAGTCAATTAGGCAAATATTGAGTAGGTTTACTCGAATTTATTATTTAGTGGCGCAACGATTGCTGCATATAGTTGCTGTCCATACTTTAGAATCTCGTCCCATAGGCGTAACTCAAAGGATCATTATATCATTTCTAACCTGTAAAAGTAAAAAAAAAAAGATTAAACACTCTCATACTTCCGAAATAATCGAACCCGAAAAGTAGTAAAATGGAATAATTACAAAAAAAAAGGAAATCTAATAAAAAAACGGAGATGATTAACAGCAAAAGGAAGTTTTCAAAAAAAAAAAAAAAATAATGCTAGATTATATATATGAATAAAGGATGAATTTTAACATTTTTGATGCACTCGAAGCAATCGGAATTGAAAGCGAAACCTTAAAAAAAAAAAAAAGGAAAATATGGCTGAAAGGTAAGGTATTTTGATAAATACAAAGGACCGCTACAAATGATTTGCAATAGTACTAAAAATATAGGATGTAAGATACCATTCTCATTTAGATTTGCGTTACATAAATAGCCAATTTATATCAAAATAATGATTTTCTATAATAAGGATATGTTATAAAGTATTATTACCTTACGAGTTGCTTAAAGTGAGTATTGCATTTTTTAAAAAAATTAAAAAAGTATTTTTGGTAAAGGAGGTTTGTTTGTTAAAAATTCCTTTAACCTATTTAATAATTAGCTTAAAAGAGTTAGTCCAGCAACTATGTGAACAAATTACATTGACATTTTCTTTGTAATAATAGTCATGGCTGTCAGAATTATTTATAATAACGTTATTGCAGGATTTAATGCGATAAATAACCAACTATTTTAATAATGTTTTATATTAATTGTAAAATTTTTGAAATAACCAGACGACTGAATCGATTAACTTCATTGACATTGTCTAAACCGACTATATCAACTGGTACTTGTCTTCCAGTTCTTTTACATTTCAGCAGTGTCTTCGGAAGTTTTACAATACATGTGATATTCTTTATTTCATTCAAAATTAAATTCATTAATGAATCATTTGAAAAACTCAAAATCAAAAAGATTTATATTGAATTCTAAAATATCGTTATTTGATTTATTTGAATACAGACAAAGTCTTAGAAAGACTAGTCGGTAAATGAGAACTTTAATAAATCCTTCCGATTACTTAACATAGTATTGTCGAATTTTAGAAAATTTTCTAGTGAAGCTGTTTGTATTAGTCTTTAGGTAATGGTTTTAATTCTATTGCCTTCAATCTATTATATCCTTAGATGATTTCCAAATTTATTTTTAGTCCGACCAGGACTTAGGAAAAGAGAAAAGTAAATTCAGATGTTGAAGGAACAGAAATATGGAAAGTACTGAAGAAACTGAAAAGGAAGTGATGAATGAAGGGACTACATTACGAATAGCTAATTTGTCGATTAATGTTTAAAGTAATATAACTTAAGAGATTTCATTAAATTTCAAAATTCGTATTTTAAATAATGCGTAACTTTGAAACCAAGTCACTTGATCGTGTCGAAGAAATTCACGCGATCAAATAATTTTTAACTGCTATATTTTTTCACAACTCTCATAATTACCAAAATTATATCTTTATTTTTAAATGTTGGAATACTAGTTTGTTTTTGAATTTATTCTGTCTCTCCCTTATGTAAAATCACAAAAGTTCGGCGGCTGCTTAAAAATTTTAGTATTTCCTTGTTCAGAAAATCTAATGGATTTCAATGCAAAGATACAGCATTGTCAAATGTCAATACTTATCCGCATTAATTTACCAATGGATTTAAAACGATTCTTGATCGAGAACAATTTTAAACCAAAAAAAAACTCGAACCAAACATAAACCACCACTTCCACAAGCTTACAAACCGTCAGTCAGATAAATTCTCATCCTCGAGGGAAACTCAGATTATCTATAAAATAAAGATCAAATTTATATCTATCCGGGTTATTATCGTTCGTAAAGATGTACAATTAGAAGATTGAAGCACTATTACAATCATATTTAGAAGTTTTGGAACCATCATTTTCTAACAAACCATCTGGAATGGAAATTTTCAGTCAAAATTTTATACTATTGAACACATTACTGGGCTAAACAACCTTATTGGACTACATTTTAGGTCAAGGGTGGAGTTTAATGTTAATTGCTTTACTGATTCGACATATTTTAAATGTATGATATTATTGATATTATGTAATTTTGTTTTAAAGTACGACATTAAAGCTTTCGTATTAACATCAAATTTAGTGGCGAGTAATTCGAAAACTCTTTATCTTTTTCTCGGCATACAAACATCTCTGTCGTTATTGACTAGTGCAATTAGATTTCTAAAATTGTATGGATTTTTGTAGGAAATATGTACTAAAAATATAAAGGTAAGGTACAAGTACTAAGAAGTACGAAGGTTATTTCAATATCTAGCACTTATTTTTGAATGGCATTTTTTTCCAGAGATTGTAGTGTGTTTAGACATAAAGACTGCGCAGAACATTTATGATAAGGTTTCTATGTATGGAACGTATGCTTTTTGTAAAGTGTAGTAATTTCCATGTATGCATAATTCTATACCGGTGCGTATTGTTCATAAGTTTAAATCTGTATGGGCATTCATAATATATTTGTTCTTCGACAATTTAAAATGAACATTAAGTCTTGTCCATTATTTTATTCGTTTACTTAATTTTTAACAACTATTATTACAAACAAAGAAATCTTTTAAATCAATATAAATATTGTTATATATTCTATTATTAAATACTCGTCTATTTGCTGCTTTATACATTTAAAAAATTTGGTAAAATTTAATAGCGGAGAAAATAAAAATTTTGATATTTATATAAATTATGTTTCGCACGGCTTCTAACTAAATACCAATAAAATAAAATTTTATTTTAATGAAATTTCTTGGGCCACTAATCGATTACATTTTTATGTAACAAAGTTTATAAATGTGGTTATTACAGAACGGTTTTCTATTCATAAATGTATTATAAAAGCTTAAATCCAAGATTCTATTGTTATCTTACAAAAAAATTTAATACGATGGGTTTTTTATTGGGGAATTAGACAATGAATATATTCCCTCCTCTGATAAATCTTATTTTTTTTTCTTTTGTACTTAGTTTACGATTTATAATTTTCGGAAGCCGAACACGATTTCTAAATATATAAAATATAAATGTAAAGAACTGAGCGCAACAAAATAAATGATCGAAAATTTAAAATAAGGTCTTCCATTGTTTAAATTACTTTAAAAATTTTAGCGGAGAAATTAAAAAAAATTTGAAAATAAATAACCTCAATTAAATTTTGTCCAACTAAAAAGGATATTATAAAATCAAATTTATTTAAAAATAAAATTTCCTTTTTGATTAATAAGACCTATCCTAAATGGATTTAACAATTACGATCCACATGTCTATGAAACAAGTGGTACAAGAAAAATGTTGAAATACAAATATCCAGACTTATTTGTTTGCAAATTGCTGTCGACAAAAAAGATCGGACAACAGGTTCTTTATTAACTTGCACTATGTTACAAATAAATGTAACGGATAGATATAAGGTTAAAAGTATAATATAACGAGTTAAACATAAATGATTTTCAAACGTCACATTGTTAGGCGCAGTCATTTGTGGATAAGCAAGTTGCTTCTAAATTAGAAATTTCTCGATCGCGTTAAGGATTATGATTAAATTACATAATATGAAGTTTACAACACCCACCCTCACACCACCCATCCCATCCTCCCATCCTCCCATCCTCCCACCCACCACCCACCCACACCCCAGGTAATATAATTTAATATCAATTATCTTATAAATATTATATATAGACTAAAATTTCCCAAACCCTAAAAGATGTCATCTGAAAAAAAAATTTAATTCGACATCCCGTCAAATTTAAAATTTGAAATCAGAGATTTTGGAATCGATAATAATCGATTAACTAATATATGTTATGAACTACCAAATTTTTGCCGCATTCGCGACAGCATCGATACTTCGCGTCTAACCTCCTTGGTTACTACGCAAAGAAAATTTTTCGGGCCTTGTTGACCTTTAATTATCTTAAAAAATAATGAAAAATTTCAAGTATTGATGTTTATGCTAAATGCTATAACCTCTTCATTTTTCGAGCCAAGCTCGTTAATACTCCTTTAAATTTTTTAACAGGCCTAATGGGTTCACTAACCACTTCAAAGTTCTCACAATACTTAACCAATTGAAAAGCACCACATTTCTTTGCTATCTCTAAAATTTCCTCCACATTTTCATGATTCACGAATTTCCTAATTAATATTTCACAAAGTTGAATTAATCGAAGTACAAAGAATCTTGATGCTGCATATAATAAATCAACCAATTCGACAAATTCAAGATTATAGTCGAGATTATGGGTATAAATATACAAAAGAATTTTTTCAAGAATAAGATAAGAAATATCAACAAGGTCAAGGCGCTTATTTTGGAATTCCGTCATTTTTGAGTTAAGCATGGCGTTAAAATAATCCGATCCTGAAGCGAGAATTGATGAATGAACGTAAAACTCTCTTTCACTTTCATCTGATGAGATTAATTTAATGGTAAAATCACTCGTCTTCTTATCATTGAGAACAAAATTATTATTCTTGGCATAATTATGTTGAATTGGATCACAAATTATATTTGGTTTCAATTTCATTTTAATATCCATACAAAATTTCTCATCATTTCCATTTATTTCATCTTGTTTAAACAATTGTATCCTTTCATTAGTCTCAAAGCCTACTTTCTTCTTAATATATGCTTTTAAGATAAATCCGCATTTATCCTCCACCATTCTAGTTAAATCTAGATTATAATCCAACCTATTGTTTTCCAAAGGAAATCCGATCGGTATGAATTTGGGATTTGGATTTCTTCCCGTAGAAAGTGCTTGAATAAACCATTGAACCCCATTTATATTTGTTGAATGGTGAAATTTAATTATGAGCTCTAAAGAGGTGAGGTAAAAGTTCCCCGGTCGATAATCAAATTTCCATGTAATGTAAGCTGGAAGAGTTTTACGGTGTAAACCCAGGGTTCTTGACACAATTACACTAAAATAAAAAATTAATCTTTTTTTTTAATCCAACGAAATAAACGAGTTTTAAAATGAGTGAGAATTTGTATTAACTTACGATCTCCTACCCCGAGAAAACTCAGTAAAATAATAGATGTTTTCGTGTGTAAAAGCTCCACGATTCCATCTTTTCAAGTACTTAGTGACGGCGTTACCGTTCTCATAATAGGCATTATTATAAGCATCATATGAAATCCTATGCGTGTAAAGATTGTTTTCATATGGTAAAACGTTAAACGCATATTTATCATTAAACAGACCTCCAACGGTATTGTTGATCGAATCCAACGATCTTGTAGGAATTACTCTTTCAGTTGAGGTTTTTAAGAGTTCCTTAGATATCATATTTAAATGTAACATCTTTGATATGACTTTATATTTCAGTGGAGAAAATTCAACAATAATATCCAATTCAAAATTATCCTTGACGTTATATTCTTCTTCACTTTCGGAAAAATTCCTTGTTTGAGGAAATAGATTTATATTCCTTTCAAAATTTGATCTTTCCGAAATTTTAATTTCGAATTTAATGTAAAAAACTTTTTTATGACTCACGTATCGTGTCAAGTTGTGCAGCTTACGAAGATTAATTCTTTCATCAACGTTCACCCATACGCGATCCTTTAAATCGAAATTGGTCGAAATGGAAATTTTCCAATTGCAATCAAAGTTATCATCAGCACAGTTCAATTTTAAGGATAATGAAGTGATTTCCAAGCTTTCGCACGAGGAGTAATCAAATTTATAAATGATTGATGGATATGTACCCAAATTATTAGGATATAAGGACATCCTATCTTTATAATTTGTCCTAAAAAATAAATAATATTAAAGTTAATGAATATTTCTTGAAATTCTTTCCGTTATAGTAAACGGAACTTACCGGTCCTCAGAGTAATCATAAACATATATTAAATTTTCAAATGAATAAGCACCACGATCCCAAAATTCGATGTACTTAATCCCATTTTCATAATATGCATCACTTCGAATATCGTAAGAGATTCTGTTCACGAATACATTTGATTTCGTAGGATGTGGAATAACATGAAGTTTGTGTTTATCGTTAAATAACCCATGTGGAGAATCGATTGATGTAACGAATGATGACAAGTAGGAAGTATCATGAAGGACAGCTGATTCAGGGTCAATCCTTGAATTTTCAGAAAAGATCCTGCAATAAGAATTATAATAAGGTGTAAATCTACTACTCATTTCAAAGAATATTATTCGTCTTTGAGAAACAAAATTGAATTAAAATCAATGTAAAAATTGAAAGCCATTTTGTATTTATAGTAAATTATTTTTAAAATGTTGATTATGCAATTTCCATTTATATTTTGATGTTAACATTTAAAAATAAAAGTTTCCCACGATTCCCATTCAAGATTTCCCATAAATGGAATACATCAATGCATTGATCAATTTGAAATGGGACGTCCATAAATGTCAAAACATGCATTGTTTCGTTGATCGGCGTAGATATCTTGAATGAACAAATATTAAATAATATTGATGTCATTAGAAATAATCATTATCGTTATCATCAAAAGGATTTCATATATTAAACCTAGACCACCTATTAATTAGAGACTTTAAATATTAGCAGACTAACCTTGAATTCCAAGGCATTGCTGGTACAATGACGTAAATATCTTCTATGAAAGTTGTATCATTTGTGGAAATCAATTAAGAAAAAGTAAGGAGGGGAGGTCTTCCATACAGCTTTCGTTACTCTTCATTTAGAAATTTTCATCGCTTTTTATTTTACATACTTATTTCATAAAATAAATAAAGTCAAAAAGTCAAAACGACAGAACGACTTAATTTTAAATAACAGAAAAATAAGAATTATGTAAAAAAAATCATTTATTTTTTTTTTTTGTATTTACATATTTATATATATTCCTTTGTTTATTTTCGACATGTGTAATTGTATTATTTCTTATCCGAATATGGATGCACAATGATTCTTTGATTTTTGAAAATCTTTCCTTATTTATACATGCTATTTACCAACATTTCGAGAAGTATTACGTAATACTGCTTATCGCACAAAAATCCTTTTGAAGATCAAAACCTTTCTTTTTCTCCGTCGATTATCTTATTAAATTTTAGAAATGATCAACATAAATTTGGAAATGATCGACATTATTACAGTCGCCACTAGATATAACGAACCCTCCGCTTCGTTATATGATGTTCACTCTATATACAGATATAGAGTCTGCCAATAAATTAAAAACGCGTGATAATATTAGTAATATCTGTATTAATAAAATTATTTTAAAAATACAACTTATTGCAAGCCCCAATACAATATTGGTATGCAAGTTCAATATTAGAAGGCTTAGATTTTTTCCTTTCATTGTGCAGCTGAAAGAATAACCCTATTACTTGACATGACATAAGAGTTCTTTAAACAAAAATTTTTGAGTTCTTATGAAAAAAAAGATTATTCATTTTATGATAATTTTATTATTTTAATTTAAGACACATGTAGGTCTGGATCCGTATATTTGGGATTTATATCTGTTAATCCGGTGTTAGACCTGGAATCATCTCAAACCAAGCTAACAAAACTAATAAACTTAACAACACAATTATCTCAAAGCCTTTCCTAAGAGAAATTGACGATTAATAAATAAAACAATTTATTATCACGATTCACTTGTGTAATAGGTTATCACGATCAATCCTATGATGAAGACAAGAAGAAGGTTGAAAGTGTAAAATAGTAACTTTATTAAACTGTAGAGTTATAAGTCTAGTCCCAAGACTTATCTCAATCCCTGAGCAAAACTCTGTTGACTCAAGGTCAACTTACAGGTCTATTTATATAAAATTGTTAACTAATATTAAACTACGCCTTTCAATAAGTACATATAATAAAAATAATATAATTAATGAAAATTAGACTATATAATATTTATATTTAAAGGTAAACTATTTGATACATGTATTATAAAGTTGACTAAACAATACATGTATTACATGTTTAACATGTACGATATTTAGTGCAGTTAACGATCATTTAAGGCACAGCATAAACTGCAGCTAACATCAGATACAAATTTATCTGGATAAAATCCAGATATTATCTGAATATCTGCATATCGGATATCTGATATTACCTCACCATATTATCTACATATTTAGCATATATGCATGTAAATCAGATAAAATATATAGATACAGATAAAAGAACAACGAGTTCTTCTCACTAGGGATGGTAACAGTCAGTCGTAGTCAGTCAATAATCAGTCAAAGGCCTTTAACTGACTGACTGGTTAACTAACCGATTTTAACTAACCAGTTGACCGACTAGTTAATAGTAATATAATTAAGCAATTTTGGCTTAATAAAAAGTTTTAATTTAGCCAAATATTATAATTTTGATTCTTACTTTAACAATACTAGCATGACATTTTTTTAAACTACTTTATCATTTTTATATAGTTGTGCAGCATTATCACGGACTTTAATTTTTTTTCAAAATTTCAAAATTTTAATTTATAGAAAATTAAAATAAAATGTTGATTTTATTAATTTTAATAAAAAATGTTTTTACTATTTAAGACATGATTATTCAGTCTCAAATCAGTCAGTCAAAATCGGTCAGAATCAGTCAGTCAACTGGTCAGTCAGAAGTCTTTGACTGACCAATATCAGTTACAGTTATAACCAGTTATAACCAGTCATAACCGTGACTATTAGCATTCCTACTTCTCACCATAAAAAACATATGACGCATGCTTTATAAAGTATTTCAGTATGAGTAACTATGAAAAACAAAACCTTTTATGCAATAATCAATCACTAGAAAAAGTTAAAACAACTTTAGCGCAAAATATTAAAAAACCTCTCAAAAAAATAAAACCAAAACCAAAATAAATAAAAAAGTTCTAAAACTTCTAAAACAACCAAAAGAACAAAGGAAATAGAAGAAGTAGAATATGTTTTACAGGATTCAACTTCAGATAATATTGAGAGAAGTATATTAAGAGAAAATACTATTAATAAACAAGCTGTTAGTAACAATAATGTAGAATTAAATAATGTAGGACCAAATAATAAAAATAATATAGAGCTAGAAAATGTGAAAATAAATACTTATCAAAAAGATGCCATATTTCAATCAACTAATAACAAAAGCAATTTTATTTGAAATTATTTGAAAAATTATCACCTTTAGAAAAATATAAGAAATATATTAAATGTCTTATATCAGTTAATAGTCATAGAGGTGAATAACCATATAAACATATAATGGGAACTGATATTAGTACTGTTAATTTTATTTATCATTTAACAAAGCATCATATTACTCATGATACTGAATTATCACAAAATAATGTAAAAGGTATTAATAATACATAATATATAATTAATAATCCTATTAGAAAAGATAAATTGGATAAAAAATTTATTGAAGTTATTGTAAAAGATAATCAACTATTAAGCATCTGTGATGATGATGAATTTAAAGAATTTGTAAAAGAAATAGATCTATTTTATGAATTATCAAGCGATAAAAAAGTGAAAAATTATTAGTTAAAGGTATAATTATTATAAACAAAAATTTGTTCATTTATTTGAATAAGATATTATTACCTCCTGCTTTTTAACTTTAGATCTTTGAATGTCAAGAAGTTGAGCTGATTATTTAGGCATAACTTGTTCATTTGTAAATACTCAAGTTAAACTTTATAAAGTTGTTTTAGCAATTAAATATCTAAAATATTCATATACTAGTAATATTATTGTTAAATGCAGAGTTATAATCTAAAAACTTATTATTCATTTTAGATTCAGATATCTGATATTTATTAGATAATTTGACAGATCAGGTAGAAAATTATTTATCAGATCAGATAAGAGTTTATTTTGGATAATCTGCAAATAATCCACATTTTGTTTTTTTTTAACAAAATTCTTAAAACTTTCCAACTTTTTCTTCTTCATTTTGTATATGTATTATTATAATATTTATTTATATATATAATTTTAATACATTAATATAATATATTAAAAATATTATTAATATATAATAATTATATTTTGAATATATAATTAAAATATTTAGTTTATTTAATTTATTTAATATATCTATAATATTATTAAAATATATTTATAATATTTTTGATATATGTTAAAATTCATAATTTATATATATTTATTTATAAATATTATAAAAATCTTATTATGATATTACATATATATTATTATAATCTTTTTTTATATATTATTTTAATAATATTTTTATAATATTATTATTAGGTTATAATAATTTTTTTTAAAATATTTATTTGCAAGAAATAATATAAAACTTTTGTAAAATATTACTAGCAATAAGTATTATTAAATATTAGCTAACAAGTTAATAATTCTTAAATAGGTAACAATTTTACTACTCAAGTTTTATCAGAATTGTTAAATCAATAGTATAATCATCACACTTTTTAATTGTAGTTTGTGTATTTGTTGTTTTATTTAATTAAGCAATTATAACAGCTTTAACAACTTAACATGTAAATATACTAAGTTTTTCAGTAATAATAGGATCTCTTCTTAATATCTATTGATCTATTACCTTTAGATATAAATGAAGTATTTGATGCTATTTATCCTCACTAATAAATTCACTTAATTCACTATCAGATATTTCTTCCTTATATTTATAATTAATTAATATTATTTATATATTTATTAAATTTTAATAAATCATGATACTTACTATTCATATATTACTTTTATTTATCAGCAAGTTTTACAACATATACATAAAGTTTATATTAATATGTATTATACTATCTACTAATATCCTTAAGCAATGATTCTATCTGAAGGTTTGCTTTAGTAATTTTATATACATTTATAATTAATTGCTTATATAATACTGTTATATTATTTTTATTCGAAGAAAAAAAGCCTTATATTCTTCCTGTAATTGAAATTAAGTATGCTAAAATCAAGATATTTAATTAGTATAAATTTATATAATAAAATTTTTTATTATTATGTATTATATTATCTGGCTAATTTCTAAAAATATAGATATTGGATATAATGTAAAAATAGATATTTGTAGTATTTCTAATTCTTCTCTATTCACTGATACACTAACTGTTATTGAATTTTGAATATTTATCACTAAATTTAAATTCTCTGATGATGAGCTACCTATAAGGCAATTTCAAACTCATAATAACATTTTTTGAAATTGTATTAGATATTTAGGTTATAAGTCATGTTTCTAGAAGTTACTTTCATTATTTATTAAAATATTTAATAATACAGCATTAAATAATTATGCCAATAATCATTAGCTATTTTAATGTGATATAGTAAAACTGAACAAATATATTATTATATAAACATATACCTGATTTTTTTTCTTCTTGATCAATTGCTTTATTCTTGTTATAGTATAAAATATTAATAGATTCACTAGTACATCACAAAGTTAAACCAAGTATTATTAAGCAATTAGTAAATGCTTTAAAATTAGTTTTTTCAAATACTTATTAAACATATTTGAATAGACCTTATATTTAAATAAACATTAGTATTCTATTATAATTACTCAACGTTATATATTATTTTAACATTAAAATATAATATAATTTCATTATTTATATAAAATATTTATAATGTATTTGCTAATAGTATTAATTTTATTTCATATATTTAAGCAATAATTATATTTATTTTATATTATATGTTTAAGCAATAATTTTTATTAATTATATTTATTAAGCAAAATAATTATAATCGTAACTTTTAATTTTATAGTATTTACAATTTTGATTAAATAATTTTTTATTCTATATAAAATATATTATTAAATAATAAGTGCTTATAAGTAAATATATTGTTGTAAATGTAAAAATCACTTACAATTTTCTTGACTCACAACCTCTCAAAGTCAAAGATCTGCATCTTTTTAAGAAAACAATTCATCCGCTCCACAACTTCACTTAGAACCATATTAATACCCTTCAATGGATTAAGATAATTAAAGGTAACAGCCATCTTAAATGTGATAGAATTTATTTCTGTATCTAGATTTGTAAAAATATGATCAATGATCAGATTAAGATAAGTATAACATGAATTATCATTAAGATCTATGATTTATTCAATTTTATATAATATTCACGTGTAATGTCAGAATCTTTAAATTTCTATTCTTCATCACATGAAATCTATTAATTTTCTGTTTTAGGCTTTACAAGTTCTAAAAATTCTATATAAATAGCATCCTTAATATATTATATAATATTACTTCATATTTAGCATAAAAATCTTTGAGCCTATTAAAAAATTAAGCAAGATTAAAATGAATCTATATAAATAATCATTAATATTTACTTACCAATGATCAAATATTCTTATTAAAGAAACGTTTCCATCTACTATGCTTTATTTTACTTTGAAACTCTTTCTTATTTCATTTAATAAAGCATCATAATACACTTGCATAAGATGATCATCACTTGGATATTTGACTTTCTCAGCAGTATAATAAATTGACTGGCTAATTACATCCATCATAAATATTATAGACAAGTTAATATATTAATTTAAAAAATATAATAATATTTAATATCACTTACTTCAATCCACTTGATATCATTTTTGGTGTGACCAATGAAGCCAGTAGATTTCCAATCTATATACATTTCATTAATCTTTTTCTGCATATCTTAAATTGCCATAACTATTTGATTTTATATATCCTATATATTGCTAATTGCTAAAGCAAGTCTTAAAAGAAATAATAGAAATATAATTAAATAATAATCATAGTTATAAAGCAATAAATAGTCAATAAACTTATGTATCTTCTTTTGTGTATTTATTTCTTCTTTTTCCATATTTTTAACCTTTTGTTTATTGTTAAAAGAGAACATCATCTCATTTTCTAGGATAAAATCATCAACAAGATTCTCATCATCACTTGGAAGACAGTTTTTCAAATCAGGTAAAGTATGGTTATCATCAAACTTATTTAATTGGCTTTCTATATCCACATCTTTAACAATCTGGTTATCCAAATCTAGCTAGGTAGTAGAACTACTTGGGGTATCTGTTGGTTCATCTAAAAGGTTAATATAAGGCAAAGTATATTAAGCATTTATATGTAATGTAATAGATATTGCTCATTTTTTTTGGCCTATAATTGTAAAAAAATTATGTATTTCTGAAATAAATCAAGTTGGAATATTTCTTTAAACATAAATATTTCAAATATAAATATTTAATCCTGTATTATTACAAATCTTACCACTTATATATTAATAGTTAATTATTCTTATTAATCGTAAAGAAATAGTCAAATGAATGAAATGAAAGAAGTTGATCTAATGAAAAGTTTGAATGATATCTAATTTATAGTCTTATTTATAATCTAATTTTATATTGTGTAATCCATAATTTAAAAATCACGTGATGATACATTATAGTTAAAAAACAAAATCTAATTTTATTATAATCAACTTTGATTCGTATAATAGTGATGATCAATCAATAAATTTCTGAAACAAAGATGTTGCATTTTAAATAATTAGAAGATTAATTTATTTCAGTAGGTTGTATAATAAATATTTATTACATTTGTAATGTGATAAAGCTGAAAATTTAATAACAAATTAATATAAAGTCTTAAATTGATATAAAAAAACAAACTTCAGTTGATAATATAAAAGTATTAGAATTTTTTATATTTCTATTTGAATAATGATTTTAAAATAAATTAGCTATACATTCTAAATATATATTTAAATATTTTAGAGTTCGAATATAATTTCACATAATCCTAAAGCTATAACGAATTAAATCAGCTTAAAAATCATATTATTTTGTATTGAAAACATATATTAAGACACAATTGTTTATATATATAAAAAAGATAATTTTTGTCTTTTACTTTATTTATACATTTATTCTTACAAACCCATCAATTTATATATTTCGTTCTTATAAATCTTATTTTAATGCATCATCAAATTGATTTCTAATAACTATTCGTGGTGAACTATTTATTCTCCAAGATGCCAAAGTGTTCCTCTTATAGTAAAGTTTTCAAGAACTAGCAGGGTTTGAGAAATCATATAAAAATACATTAAACAATAGTGATGAAGACTTACCTTTGCCAAATCAAAT